TTCCTGTTCCTGTTGTTAGTGGTGGTGCTGGTGTGTGTGCGTGTGTGCACTTTCCTGCGTAGGGTTGTTGTTTTTTTTCTTTAGTTTTTCAGACAGGGTTTTGTTGTCACATAAGCAAACAAAAACCTGGCCCCACCCTTCAGGGACCTGGCGTGCATGGTAGGGCGGCGCACCCTGGCTCTGTACACAGGCGCAGAGATCCCTTAAGAGACAAGCAGCACTCACTCCCACTCTCTCTCCCCCATTTCTCCGAGGGGGCCTCTGTCCCGCTCTGTCCCTCTCTGTCTCTCTGTCTCTCTCTGTCTCTGTCTCTCTCTGTCTCTCTCTGTCTCTCTGTCTCTCTCTGTCTCTCTCTGTCTCTCTGTCTCTCTCTGTCTCTCTGTCTCTCTGTCTCTCTCTGTCCCTCTCTGTCTCTCTCTGTCCCTCTCTGTCCCTCTCTGTCTCTCTCTGTCTCTCTCTGTCCCTCTGTCTCTCTGTCCTTCTCTGTCTCTCTCTGTCCCCCTCTGTCTCTCTGTCCTTCTCTGTCTCTCTGTCCCTCTCTGTCTCTCTCTGTCTCTGTCCCTCTCTGTCTCTCTGTCTCTCTCTGTCTCTCTGTCCCTCTCTGTCTCTCTCTGTCCCTCTCTGTCTCTCTGTCTCTCTCTGTCTCTCTCTGTCCCTCTCTGTCTCTCTGTCCCTCTCTGTCTCTCTGTCCCTCTCTGTCTCTCTGTCCCTCTCTGTCTCTCTCTGTCTCTCTCTGTCTCTCTGTCCCTCTCTGTCTCTCTGTCTCTCTGTCCCTCTCTGTCTCTCTCTGTCTCTCTCTGTCCCTCTCTGTCTCCTTCCCTCTCCGTCCACTCCCCTCCCTTCCTCAATAAACCCCGTTTCCATGTAAGCCCTGCCTGATGGCCTATGTGTCTCTTGCTTCTCATGGGCCATTCCACCCTTCTGAGGTCTCCCCCTCTGCATATTCATAACAGTAGCTTTGGCTGCCCTTTGTAGGCTAGGTGGGTCTCGAATTCACAGAGGTCTGCCTGCCTGTGCCTCCAGAGTGTGGAGTGTAGCACTTTATAATTTATATTTTAGAAACCACACAGTCCAGCCCTCTTAAACAGGCTTTCTAATTGTACTGTAAGTCTGCTCATTCCAAATTTCGTGCTGTGTCTGTCACTTATGTTGACATTGTTTATTCGTCATTCGTCACTAGCAGTCAAAACAAACAAAACAAAATAATTCTAAAACCGTCTTCCAGTTAGCTGAAAATACGTGTTTGCTAAACAAAATAGTCATTGTGACCCAAACAGTGGATTACATGGACTCATCTTTTCAACAGAAACAAGTTCTTCTCCTTTAAGTTCATAATTGTCTGCAACAGTACCAAAACTGTTCCTTCTCTTGCAAAACTGCTCTATCTCTTGTGAGATAGCAGAGTGGCGTGCCCATGAGCCATACCCAGTCAGAAAGCAGGGAGAGCTGTTATTGACAATGGAGTCCCGGCAACTGTCCTGTGCAGTTCTTCTCTCCATTAATACTTATTAATACTTCTCTCTCTCTACCCCTGCGGTCACTATCTATATGGCTGTATTTATAGTGCGTGTGTGTGCATGTGTGTGTATGTGCGTGCATGTGTGCGTGTGTGCATGTGTGCATGTGTGCGTGCGTGTGTTCATGTGTGTGTGCGCATGTGTGTGCGTGCATGTGTGTGCGCATGTGTGTGCGTGTGTGTGCATGTGTGTGCATATGCGTGCTGCGTGTGTGCGTGCGTGTGCGTGCTTGGGGGTGTGTGTGTGTGTGTATGTGTGGTGTGTGAAAACATCCACTCACTGTGTACCTTGAGAAGAAGTAAGTGCCTGGTTGTCACTGACAGGATGTTTGTAAAGTCAGTGATAGTACATGACATTTCACCCAGTGATTGATTTCTGCTGGCTCAATTCACTAGTTTAGTTTCATAAACTGGTTACCCGTGCTTAGAAGTTCACAATCCCTAGATAGTTAGGGGATTCTCTTTTTTTCGATTCATTTAATAAAATGAATGGATTCTCTGCATAAACAAAAAGGAAAACCTTTTAAAAAGTCTTACTTTTAATCTTTTAAAACAATTTAAGTCCTTTAAAAGGATGCCTTAGTGGGTTCTTCTTGCCAGTAATATATTGCTTTAAATTTGTCTTTTTCCTTTCATGCTATACTTTAAAAGATGATTCTTAGTCCATGGAAGTAGATCCCATTAATTTGATTTATACTGCTGTGTTAAAACATGTGCAAGTGAAAATTTAAATGTGTCTTTAACTGTCTCATTTCCAAATTAATCACTTATTGTATACAGTGAGGACACCAACATCATATTACTGACTTTGATCCCATAATAAAATGCTGATTCTGTGTATTGATGTAGTTATTTACCTTTAAACCAAGTGAAAATGCATGGCCTTATCACGTTTGAATGTTCTTTATCCCTTCAGCTGCATTCAGTTTAAACTGAGTGTCCATCCCCTATACCTTGCTCAGTGGTAGAGTAAGACACTGTGTGATTCCAACTAGCAGCAAGCTAAAGCAATAATGTAAGTATATGTCAGGCAGTTTTGCAGTTCCCTGGCATTGACGATGCTTACACGGGCAACACCACACTGGTCACATGTAAACGTCTGCAGTGTTCTTCACTACTGTCAACACGTGAAGGCCTCCCTCCGCTGTCCAGGGCAACTGCATCTTGGAATTCATGTGCAAAGGCCTGTAGAGGTTGTATTTCTCACTCTAGTCTCGTCTTTAAGAACATTGAAAACTATTATTTAAAGGGACCTTAAACAAGCCTTAGCAATACGTGTTTTCCTTTTGTAGTTTAAGAAAAGCAGAGAGAATGATGCCCTGTGACGGGGTTCAAGGAGAAGGTTTTTTGCTTTGTGTTTTCCTAATTAGGGAAAGGGATCGCAGAAAGGGGCTGGGGGGGGGGGGAGACCGGTCCCCTGGGATGGGAGCAGCAGGAGAGGAAGTGGGGGGGGGAGAGGAAAGAGAAGGGAGAACAGACAGACAGACAGAGAGAGAGAGAGAAAGAAAGAAAGGGGGAGGTAGGCAGGGCCCTTTTAAAAAGGAACATAGTGAATGTGCACAGGTGGCTGCAGCTGAGGGCGTGTCCTGCGAGAACCCCAAAGACAGGCCAGTACAGAACCTAAATGCTAATGGATCCTTCAGCCAGCAATTACATTGCATGTCATGAAAACTGTACTCATGTTATTATTGAACGGTTAAAATTTCTTGGTGCTCGGTTATGGTTAAGGGCATCATAGTTTAAACAAGGAGTGAGTTTTGGTGAACATCGATGTTGTCACCGTGATATCGTGGATCCCGACTAGATGACAGACACGTGTCTGCTGTGCATTAGTTCAGTGAGAGCCTCTGCTAACGTGTGTGACTGAACATATAAACTCCTGACCACCAAGTGTCTGCTCCTTACATTGTCAGAGAATGTTCTCATGTGTGCGTGTGAGTGTGTGTTTGTGCGCGTGTGTGTGCGTGTGTGTGCACGTGTGAAGCACATATTAGCATATTTCTGTGATTAATGGTGCTTTTAGTGTTTTTATGTGTGACATTTTAAAATTTTTATTTTTGAGACTATAATTACATTTCTCCCTTTCATTTTCTCCTTCCAAATCCTCCCATATACCCCTACCCACTCTTCAAATTCATGGTCTCTTTTTTTACTGTTATATATTCCTGAGTTTTTATAATGTTACTTGTATAATGTAACCAATGTCTTGGTTAGTGTTTCTGTTGCTGTGAAGAGGCACCACAGCAACTTTTCTAAAGGAAAACATTTAATTGGGGCTGGCTTACAGTTCAGAGGTTCAGTCCATTGTCATGGTGACGTGCAGGCTGCCGTAGTGCTTAAGAGGCAGCTGAGAGTTCTGCATCAACTCCCAGGCAACAGGAAGTGAACTGTGCCCCACACTGGGCATCACTTGAGCATATGAGACCTCAGAGCCCGCCCCACAGTGACACACCTCCTCCAACACGGCCACACCTCCTGTTACCCCTCTGTATAGGCCAAGCATTCAAACTCAGGAGTTTATGGCGGCCATCCCTGTTGAAAGCACCACAGCATGTTCGAGCTGACCTTTTGGCACTGAACAATTGATGTGTTCGACCCTTGAGAAGGCCGCCTTTCCTACTCTTGGCTTTACTCGGTTCTTGTGTAGAACTGGGACTTCTCGGGCTTCTTCCCATCTGCTATGGTGTGCCCATTGTTATTACTTTCGCTCAGCTTGTGTTTGGGGAGACTTTGTGAGTGTGGCTTCTGATGTTACCGGGAGGCGCAGTCTCACAGCAAACTCGCTGATCCTGGGGGTCTTAAGTCTTTCTGTCCCAATCTTCTGCAGCACTCTGTGAGCCTTAGGCATGGGACTTGTTTTGTAGTTATCTATTAGGACCGGTCTCTGCATATTGTTTGTTTGTACTTTTCTTTAATGGTCCCATCTGTTGCACAGAAAAGTTTCCTTAATGAGGGGTAAGAACTATGCTTATCTGTGGGTATAACGACAGACCTTTACAGACTGTTAGAATTTTGCTGGTGCCCTCAGATACTATGGTAGCTAGTCCTCAGGAAGGGGGCTTTCAGGTTAGTCCCAGCTAAGGGGTCTCTTGGCCCTGTGTCTGAAGTGCATGGCGTGGGCAATGAAAGGCAATTACAACAGGCTGTGTGTTCTAGGAGTCTCTTGCGCAGCCCTGGTCGACACTTCAAAAGGCTTCTCACGACAGGTACTGTGGTTTCTGTTATGTGGTCCTTGGCTCTTGGAAAGAACATTGGCAGCCCACATGAGATCATTATAGTTCATTAAAGCTAGATATGTGTGTCTGTACACAGAATGACATGTATTACATGGTTTTCTATTAAATTGTTAATGGTATGATTCCCGTGGTTGTTTTCTACATCCTTATTTTTATTTTACCCATTTCCCTCATTTTTCTGTATTAATAAGTATTTTAATGTTATAAAGTATATGAATGAATTAACAGTTGGAACTTTTAAATTTTAGTTTATTGACGGTCGACTGGCGAAGCTTAATGCTGGAAAGGGTTTCTCTGATATATTCGAAGAAGAGATCACTTCGGGCGGCTTCTGTGGAGGTAAAGACAGTTTTGTATCTGACTATCTATGTTTTTTTTTTAGACAACGTCTGATTTCTATGCCTGTCTCTGATATCTATAATATTTTTTATAAACAATCATTTTCTCCTAAACATGCACTATTCATGTAAAATTTTCATCTAATGTGAGCAGTGCTATGGGCTTATTTTCATGATCCAGGCAGGGAGGTTGTCTCATAACTTGGTAGTTACTGGCTCTAAGACTCTCTTGGCATTGTTGAAAATAAACAAATGATTCCAATAGTTTATGCCCTCTACCCTTTCCCAGCAAATAGTAGCTTCTCACAGGAAGTTGTGAGTGTTGGCTGTGAGGAGGCTGTGTTTGGAACCGAGACTCTGGCTGACGTGGTGAGCGCAGTGCAGGGAGTCCTGGGGTTCCTTGGGCACACTTCCAGTTTCTCTAAGTCTCAAGTCTTATGTGGGAGTCTACGATTTCTGGTATGCAGACTACAGCAGAGCACAAAAACTAGAATGCCCTCCAAATGTAAATATCCAGTGTTGTGATTACCTCGCCAAGAAATGATTTGTGATTTGACGTGTTGTCGGTACATGTTTTACTGCCTAGTCCTGGCACGTGGGGAGTTTTCCTCGAGCCCTCCAGTGTCTCCGTGACTCTTTCTAGCGAGATTGCTGCATACTCTGCTCTGTATTTGTGAGACCCAGTTGAACAACACGTCTTCTCTCTCTGTCTCTGTGTGTTTGTTTTGACCTCTTTGTTGGTTTGCTTTGATAGGTTTTTCAGTCTGTTTGAATTAATAGTTATTAGGAAGTAATATGTACATGCCTTCAGGTTTTACACCTGACCTGTATCCTTAAATACCTACTGTCAGCCATAAAAGTAAATGATGAACAGCATCTGCTCACTCAAAAATGTCACCTGGCAGAAGTTCAGCACCTCACGTGGCTCACTGATCTCGGAGCCGTTAGTTTGTCTGACTCAGCAAGAGAGCTGAATGTGGGCTCACGCAGCTCTCTCTCCTCAGCTCGTGGCAGAAATTTAGCTTCAAATGGAACTTTTGTGGTAAAATGACGCCTTTTCACTTTTCAACTCAGACAAGCAAAATATTGTCAGCTTATGGACAAATTGCTTGAGGCTGATAGTCGGTATATACATAACTGTTGTCTCATTATCTTTGTGACCTGTGGGGCTGGTAGCCTTTGTAGAATTGAAGATGACAACCTGTGACAGTAATGGGGTAGAGCCGTGATCACTTCGTACACTTAAATTCTGTGGTAATAACTGCTGGAACAGAAGTGGAGATGAGATAAAGGCTGCCACCAGTAGAGAAGGATTACTAATTCGTTATTATTATTATTATTTTAACAAATCCTTACTGCTTAGAGAACGGGAGGCTATGTGTGGTCTTGGTCAGTGTCTGACATAGTGATCTACTTAATTCTGCCTGTTTAATTGGCTTTTATGATAATTAACATGATTTCCAGCTCCATGTTCTAATCTGAGGGGGCAGATGCTTATCCAAAAGGAAAACCCATTTCCGTAGTTATTAATTTGAGTGAACAGGAAAGTATTTTTTAAGATTATGCCAGTCAAGTGTTATCTTTATTTGTATTTTAAATGCATAGATATTGTTCTTAGAAAAACGAATGCTTGATTCATTAAGATTCGAAGTAGAAAAGATGAACAATAGATAGGAGTTAGTCATTGTTTTTTCTTTTTATTTGGTGTTGTTTAGCAAAGACATTGACTCTACTTAAACTTTTGTTGTTTAAGTTTACGTTAGGGTTTATCTATGGTAGAGGGGTTTCCCCGTGGCATTCCCAGAAGTCTCCAGTGTTAGTTGCCCCGCCCCATGCTCCTTCCGTCCTGCTCCTCCATCTCCATCATTCCTTCTCCCTCTCCTTGCTTTCTTGCTGCCCGTGCTCAACACCCTCTCTCCCGCGACGCCCACCTGTCCAGCCTTACCACTTCCCTGACTTGTATTCTTTCCACGGCCTGGGTGTTTCGGAGTTGAAGAAACCTGCTTCTTGATTCTGTTGTCTGCAAAGGAACCTAGTCCCAGTGATGGGTTAGCGCTGCACGCTAGAGCTACGGGCCACAGCAGAGACCTCGTCCTTTCTCGTGGTACTGCCGGTTTTGTGTAGTTTACAGTAGAGTGATGCAGTTCGGACAATGTACAGTAGGTGAAAATAGCAGTTGACCTATAAAGAGCTGAATATGAATTTAACCTTAAATGTTAAGTAAGGCCACACCCGATTTCTTTGTAGTTGGTACTTTAGTATTTTTTTTTTCCTGGGTTGACAATTATTCTTGAATCCTAGGTTGCTCCCATACTATTCTGTTTTCCGTACGCTTCAGTGAATTCATTTTGGGGAAATAAACACCATATGATATAGTTTTAAATAGCGTACAACCCCTTAATGAATACTTTCCATGCAGTCTTTCGTGGGGAGGAGGTAGTAGATGTGTGAACTGATGAGAATATGTCCCTGCCTGTCATCACAGAACCTGGAAGGGTGGGAGGGAGCAGGGGGACTGGGAGCCAAAGGCCCTTCTCAGTTTGTAACGAAATTGAGGTCAGCTCGGGCTAGATGACACCCTGTCTCAAAAGCTCTATAAAAAAGTAAATGAAATATGTGCTTTTGTTGTTATAAAAAAAAATTTGAAAAATAAATTGGTAGGATAACTTGATTTTTTAAAACCATTTTACAAGGAATATACATACACACACACACACACACACACACACACACACACACACACACACACCTGAACCTGTGGGGTTTGACCCTGGATTTTCTTCTCAATAAAAACGGACAAATATAGCAAGAGATCTTTACTACAATTTGCAATAAAAATAAAAGGTTGTTTTTGTTTGTTTGTTTCAAGTTAGGGAGAGATTTGAAGGATGCAATTAATCCAGAACCAGACACTTTTCAGGGTCCAATTTCTGTTAATTCTTCAAAAAAAATAACAAGACACTCTAGGCTGAGACCACAGGACCAGTCTGGGGCTGATGCCGCAGTATGCCAGGCGGGCAGCTGCTCTAGCCCTGGTACAGAGCATTAAGGTGGTGGGAGTCTTTACATGTTCATCAGCTGTGCATGTGTAAGTGTGCATGCACGCATTCTCCTACCCACGTAGGTCCAGGTCAGTTGTCTCCCACTACTGCAGGGATTCTGGGGATCAAACTCGGCTCATCAGTCTCAGCTACAAGCAGGCTGGCGCCTTTAACGGCTCTCTAGCCCTTGGTATATTTTCTTTTTAAAACAGAGATACAGCTACATAAAAAGGAAACGCGGTATCTTGAGGGGTCCTTCGTGCAACAGTGACTTGACTCGACACTGAGACTTTATTTTTAATTATGGCTTTTACCCTTATAATTTTTGAGATTTCTTAAGCTTTGTAAAAATTAAGAATGTAGTTAAAAATCTAGCTGTGTTCAGTTGGGCTGAAAGACTGTCAGATGTGTGTTTCTTTTTCTAAGTATTTTTTCTTTTTGTGGGGGGCATTGTTTGCTTGTTTGTGTGCATGTTTTGGCTGTGTGTGTGTGTGTGTGTGTGTGTGTACGTGCGCGCGTGCACCATATTCATGCATGGTGCCTGCAGAGGCCAGAAGGGGGCGCTAGACCCCCTGGAGTTATATAGATAGTTGTGAGTCACCATGTGTATACTGGGAATTGATCTTGGATTTTCTGTGAGAACAACATGTTGTTAACTGCCGAGCCATCTCTCCAGCACTAGATATGTGTCTCTCTTTTGGCTAATAATTTCATTTCATTGACCAAATAATTAATGTTATTTTCAAGCAAATATGTTTATTAACAGAGTTTTGGGTGCATTTTGTGATTCTCTGGGGTCTGGATGGATATCACACATGTGGATGAGAAAGCCAAAGGACAACCTTATACATTATTTATCACTCACCCTGTGTCTTGGTTAAGTGCCCTGGGCCTTGCAGAGGAATATGCCTGTGTCTATCACCCAGCACTAGGAATATAGGTGTGTGCCACCACACTCAGCTTTTTTTAATTTGGATCAAACTCAAGCCCTCATGTTTGCCCAGCAGGTGTTTTACTCACTGAGCATCTCCCCAGCCCGAACTTTCAGATTTTGTTAGAAGTAATCCGGTCACTTCTTTCAAAGTCATGATGCTTTCTATCTTCATATTTCCTTCCAGCGATACTTCTTACATTTACACAGTTAGGGAATAGCTTCAGAAATAAATGTCATTTAGTTGTATTAAAACACAAGTATCTACTAGTGTACAGTATGATTTAACAAATACAAAACAATCTTTCTTGACCTCATAATGTTTTGCATTTCCCAATTTTTCTCTTCATTCTTCTCCATACTTGAAATGTTTTAAGTGAACCTAACTATATAAAACAGACATATTTTTAAAACGATAGATGTAAAACGTTGAAAAATTATCTTTGAAAGCATAGACAAGTTGAATTTAAAGTGCTTACATTTCCCATCGAAAAGCAAATATTAGGCTAGAGTGAAGCCTTGGCTTCACGTGCTGGTGAAGACCTGTGTGTGTGTGTGTGTGTGTGTGTGTGTGTGTGTGTGTGTGTGGTGTCTGGCACGGCTCGCTCACTCATGCAAGGCCAGTACTACTTTCCCAGTGAGGCCAACTCAGCCAACTGTGGTTTCTAGTTTCACTCTTTAGTGTGGATTGCTGGCATCTAATTTTCTTATGTTCCAGGGAGCCCGAGGTCCTATCAACAGTGGGTGCATACGGTCAAGGTAAGCATAAGCCTTTCGCTTTGGTGTTTTTCCTCTAGAAAACATAAAGGTTCAGAGAAAGTATCCTTAACACTTAACACCATTTAATTTGAAATGTGTATATATTTTTTTTTATCATCCTTTGAGTATTTTTGTTTACAGTTTGTTGGTAATTGTAAAGGAAATTTTAAAATGAAAATACTTGGTTGGGGGGGGGAAGGTTTATTTAAAGCCAACATGTGCCTTTCTTTCTGACATCTCCCTCAGTGTTCAACACCAGTGTGCTGGCTAGTATCTAACAACTTGACACAATTGGGAGGAGGGAACCCCAAAGGAGGAATTGCCTCTGTAACATCGCCTGGTGGTTGATGTGCCAGCCCGCTGTCTGTGGTGCCCCAGTGGGCAGGTGATCTTGGGAGGTTCAAGAAAGGCCTGCCAATGTGCCCTTGGGAGGGAGACAGTGAGCAGAGCTCCTCCCTCGAGGGTCCTGCTTGAGCTCCTGCCCGGGCTTGCTTTGGTGATGGACTCTAACCTGTATGATGTATTAAACCCTTTTCTCTAGAAGTTGGTATAAGTCAGTGTCAGAGCAACAGAAAGAAACAGAGGCCTAAGCTGCAGTGGTAGGACTGGATGGGGATTTTATTGGATGATGTAGCTTTGTTAGTATGTCTTTAACGTGAAAAGTCTTTATTGCCCAACATAAACCAGCTGATAAACATCACCGCCTCTGTCAGTGAGAAACTTTAAATCTACATCCAGTATCGTTCACAGTGCTCACCCATCCGATCTTTGGTGCTGAAATGACTCTTCACTAATGCTTTATGCCATCTAAGAGAACAGAATAGACTATTGGGACCCGGTTTTAAATTAGTATGAGACATAAACTCATAAAAACACCGGACATAGTCGTATGGGTCTTTCACTCAGTTATGTTTCTGTACTGCTGACAATGCTTCGCTTTCAGAGCAGTTTGCCCACAAATCTTTATGAACACTTCTCTTTTTTTTTTTTTTCCAGAAAGGTGGTGCATTGTTCAACACAGCGGTGACCAAAGCAACCCCTGCTGTGCGGACCGCCTACAAATTTGTAAGTTTCCTCTCTGAATTTCAGATTCTGCTGATAAAATGACACCTGTGTCTATGAGGTAGACATGCAAACTCGAAGTGTTTTCTATTTCTGCATTATGGGGGGGGGTTCTCATGCAGCCAGTGATCAGGGTGACCCAGCCCGTGTGTGCACATGGCTGTGGACAAGCGTCAAGTGTCTACAATTTGAGGCGGAAGTGGCAGGAGAGAACGAGAGGGAGAAGATGGAGGAGAGCGATGTGAACGCAGAAGTCACCCATGAATTCTCTGAAACGGAGTGTACAGAGTGGTCATAGACTAACCTTAAAAAAATCCACTAAAGGAGGAAACACAAACGCATGAGTGCCCACATATGTACAGACACACACACAGACACACACTAGTGCACACACAACACACGTACCCACACATGCACAATGCCCACACAGGCTGGAACACACACACACACACACACACACACACACACACACACACACACACACACACACACACGGAAGTTTGAGGACATATGTCAATAGGTTTATTTTGTATAGAAGTTATAAATATGACCTGCTGAGTTCACTCAGTGTTACTCATGTGTTTGGGGATGACCTCTTGCGGTTGGCTAACCTACCTCACTCCTGGAGAGCACAGATTCTCTCGCTCTCGGCTGCTATTAATTGCTAGTAGCTCCTGCCTTGGCGTCAAGCCCTGTGAGAATCCCCCATCCACATGGCACACCAGTTGCTGTGGTCACTGTTAAAGTATCCTTTAGGCAACTGCGTTGTTGAGATTTCCCGGGTGCATCTTCCCTGTCGTATATAGAAGACACTACCTTGCAGGCACCCTGTCTGAGTCCTCTGACCCTCCACAGGATTTCCGTGACGTTCCATGAGCCTTGGCCGTATGGGTTGTCCTGTAGATTTGTCAGTAATTCTCTGAGTATTGACAAGTTGTGGCTTTATAACTTGAAACAGGTCTCCTGCTGGAGCCTGGAACTCACCATTGGGCTTGGTCAGGTGTCTGGTCGGAAGCCCTGTGAGTTTGCCTTTCAGTGTCTGCCTTCCTAGCACTGTAATCTCAAGAGCGCAGCCTCACGTCTGGCCTTCACTTGGGTCTTGTGATTGAGCACAGGCCTTCATTCCCATGCGGCGAGCACTTTCCCTTCCGAGAGATTGCCAGAGCTGTGCTTTCGATCTTTAGAATTTGCTTGACCAAAATGTTTAGACCGAATATTGAGCGAAATGACTTTTGTCATTAAAATAATATTATATAGGAAGGTGTTTCCTTTATGCGATCTAAAAGTATTTCCATGTTGTATTTAAAAGTTATCGACAGAATCGTCTAGCAAATTCTGAAGCAGTCCACAATGACATGCCAGTTTGGAAACTGGGTTAGTTCGATTAGTTCCTACAGTATATTTGAAATGTTCCTGATTTGCTTGAGGAGAAAATAAACAGAACAGTGTGTGGTAACATCTGTTTGCCAGAAGATGCTTTAAGTCTCCATGTTTCTTCAGAGATTCCTCTTGGCCTAGAGAACAACAGCAGCAATAAACAAGTAATAAAACATACTCTTTAATGTAACAATTAAGACACAGGGGGCCCAAGCTCACCTCTGCCCTGGTGCACTTTCTCCCATCCCTCTGCCGTTCCTTCTTGCTTGAGTCCAGAATCTTATGCTCCGGCTTTCTGTCCTTGCTCACGCTCTCCCCACCACTTCTGGGACTTAGTTCAGGTCCACCTGTCACCTAGTTTTCTTCCCAGTCACCGCCAGCCCCGCCCCCACCCCAGCCCCCAAAGGTACAGCCCTTCCCTCGCTCCTATAGAAACCACAGGATTTGCTTTGCCGCATTTGTCATTTGAACATTGTTGATCTCAAGATGGTGAGCTCCATGTGGGACAAAGTAATGACTTTTTGAAATGAATGGTTATGCAAACTCTGTGTTTCTGAAAGCGTGTAGGACAGTTAGGATTTTGTAAGAATTCATCTTCAAAGGCTTTCTTGGTAAATACTTGTATGGTTCAGATAATAATAAGCTTCAATAAATGTTTAGTACTAGTCATCTTGACTTAAAATTGTGGTATAATTGTGTAGATAAATCGTTTAAAAATTACATTTTACAGCAGGAAGGCTAATCTAGAGAGTTGCTTCAAAAAAAAATTCTAATGTTCTGAATTGTCTAAAACCCAGTAACATAAAGTATAAAAAACAAATTAAAAAGGTAGTAGTTTGCCCTAGAAAGAGAAGCCTTTAACTTTGGTTTGGTTTTCTTATAACTTTGCTGGGAGGCCTCTGTGCATCCCCCACTTATATTGGTGTAAATATGTATCTGAGGAGGGTTTCCCACAATGCAATGGCACAGCCTCTGACAAGGAACTCACACTGAGCTTCCTTTCTCACCAGCAAATTCTTTAAAAGCAGCAACAACAGACTTCAACCACCCCTGGCCCTCTTGAGGAATGAACTCCTAATAAGTGTCTTTAGGATGGCATGCGTTCTTCCTAACGTGTGTTCCTCTCTACTTTCACTAGTAGTAATACAGCAAATGTGTTCGACGTGTCATTGTGGAAAATATGATCATGTGATTCATAGATAGTTTTGCTTTGAATCTTCTCTGAAAGGCTGTAATATCTTTACAAGCTAAAAATTGTACTCTTGGAGGACTATTTCTTCAAGTAATTTCTGGAAAATTCAGGTTTTTTAGAATATACTTCATTTATCTTGTGATCATATCGTATGAATCAGGAGGTCTGAAGAACATGAGTAAACCATTTTGTGTCTTATTTTTACTCAAAGATGATCATTTTGGAATGTCCGGACTTAGAAATTTATATGTTGAAATTTCTTCTTCAACATTAACACGCAACAAACAAAACTCCCCATCTCTCTTATATGGATGTGACAGTAATTGTTTGCCTAGCTTCTCTATAAATGTTTTTACTTTAGTTATTTATTAAACAAATGATTTGATTGCCCACTAGCTAGAGTCATTTGGGAAGAGGAACCTCAGTAGAGAAAACACGTCCACCGGATTGGCCGGTGGGCGAGCCTGGAATACATTTTCTTGATTGATGATTGATTTATGAGGGACCAGGCCATGGTGTGCAATGTACCCGGGGCAGGAGGTTATGGATGGTGTAAGGAAGCATTCTGAGCAAGCCCAGAAGAGCAAGCCAGCCAGCAGCACGCCTTCATGCCCTTTGTATCATTCCCTGCCTTCAGCGTCCTGCTTTGCCTGAGTTCCTTCCCTCCCTGACTTCCCTGGTTGATAAATTACAAGCTTATACTGGTTAAGAGGGACCTTTAGGGGCATGTTTTGACTCCCCTTAAAAACAGCTCAGGAAAGCAGCAGAGGTTAAAAGGGGCAAGGGCTTTGGGGAGACATGCAGACTGTGTGTCTGTAGTTAAGACTTAAGCCATCCTTTTGGTGAGGCTGTAAAACAGCGGTGTAATTTAAGAACCCTGTTTTCTCCTTCATATTTGAAAGGGGAACGGGTTAGACTTCATAACAAGATATGACCCATATTTGAATCTAGACTATGTAGATGTGGTCTTCCTTGGTCACTGTCCTTTTGTAAGGCGTCAGCATAACCTTGGAATTGTGACAACAGACAGTATAGTGTATCTGAGCAGGCAGCACAGAGTTAGGAAACAAAACCAATGACACGTTGCTTCCTCTGTTTTTATGACACACACTGAGTAGGACTCTCTACAATTACTTGAATTCCTTGATGCTTAAGTATTTGCCCAAATAACTTGATGCTGTGATTCATTTTGTCTCACTGGTAACAATTATAAATTAATAATGGGCATTAGTTACCCAATTGATTCCAGGCTGAATGTTAACCTGTGTGTGTGTGTGTGTGTGTGTGTGTGTGTGTGTTTAAACCAACAATTTTGGCTTAATAAAATAGTAACTAGATAGCATTCTTTGAAATAGTTTTGGGTATAATTTGTTTCTTTTCTAAGAAATATGGGTAGTTAGCAATGCTTATTAGAGATAGTCATATATATATATACATATATATTTACCTAGCATACACACACACACACACACACACACACACACACACATATGTAATAGAAGCATGTGAATGAAGCTAGATACACTTATTCTTATTTTCTAGGCAAAGAGTCACGCCAGACTGGGACTAAGAGAGGTGAAGAGTAAGCTGAAACACAAGGTACATCTTCTCCTTGATCTTCTTACTTCACCCTGATTTTGTATGACTTTGCAGCCCCTCCTCTACAAACCATGTGAGATTCATGTTTTAATGTCTTTTGAAATGTGCTTTTCCCTTTGTTCAAGAATGTATTTTTTATAACAAGCCCTCTGGCATCTAACTCTCTGCTGTTCCTATATGCATCCACTGAATAATCTCTTTATTGTCTGCGTATTTTATCACAGAATGTGGAGATCTTCAAAGATACTTTTAGCAGGATGTATGTTTTCATAAAGTTGATTGCCTTTATAGTATTATCAAAATTCTTGCTTCAAGCCGACCATTTTTAAGAAAGTATCTTTGGGTTGGAATTAGTCAAGAAATGACAACCTTTGGTTTTGTAGGTTCATTCCAATGGTAGTTACTACATTGAAGAATGTCCCTAATTTATAAAATATCACATACAGTAATTGGATTTCAAACCTATGAGTATTAAAGGTATCATGCAATGCTTATACAACTTTGTGTGTTTGGTTTTATTATACATTATATCTTTGCAATTTTATTAACAATTGTGTTTTGAATTTTTGCTTTTGAAGAAAACAAACCAGGTAAAAATATCTTCCATTGTAGTAATGGTGTACATTTATCTTTATAAATTTTATTTCAGCTAGTCAAAGCGTGGATTATTTTTTAAATTATTAAACCACACCATTAAAAAAATCATTATTTCTTTCTTCGAAGACTCTTAAGAATTATAGCTGAAGTGCTATTTTTTCTTTTCATGTTAAATAGATACTTTATTAATCAGGTAACTTTAGTTATAAAGTACATTATTGTAAAATAATTCTACTTTTCTTCATGTGTAGGACAATGAGGAAGATTATGGGACCTGTTCTGGCTTGGTGCAGTATACACCAATTTACACATCACACAATGAAAAGGGAAGACACACAGAGAAGCATAAGCTGTCCCAGGTAGGGATGCTTGCCCTTTGTACCCCAGCCTGCGGTTATGTGTTTTAATAAATTCTTTAGGAGTATCTTGGACCACTAATATTTCTCTCACAAGAAAATAAGCATTATTGATCAAGGGGAGAACAATGGACTCCAGGCCATCAGTGGAGAGTGAGATATTCTAATATTTCATATTAGAAAATTCCATCTTGATTCAGACTTGGGATGCCCTGCACGTAATCCCGTATACCAAGCCACATTCAAAGCATAAGTTTATCATAATATTACTAAACTATTCACTGAATTCTGTGTGTAAGCTAAGGAATTTGGCGTTAGGACAACTCATGTCTACAAGATATCTCAGCATGCATGTACAGCTATTACAGCATCCACAAGGTCCAAACTGTGAAACACCACTGTTTCCGAGCCTTTTGCGTAAGGGATGCCTAACTTGTGCTTTATCATGTCTTCAAAGAGTTCAGTGAATCTGAGAGACAGTTAAGTCTGTGGTTATGTTTAGTATGAACAATATGACAGGGAACAGCGTTAATAGAGCCCCTTTACTGAAAACATAAAATGAAACCCAGACATCCAGCCATTAAAACAATGTGGGGAAATCCCAGGGTGAGCTACCATATAGCCCCATGCTATTTAAAACTCCAAAGTATTGGACCAGCTGCAGTACTGACCTTCTGATTTCTTCAGCGAATTTCTCAGACCCTTGGTATCTTCAAAGTCATGGAGACCCCATTGCAACTTATACTTTCTTAGTTTCATTAAGTGGCTTCTAGGATATTTTTACAGGGACTGCAACTGTGACACACACTGCCTCTCTTCAGCTGCTCTCTAGAACTTTGTTGCAAGACTATCCTGACATCCTTGCTCCTCCATCATTTATACCTGCAAAACCAGCAGGGAATGAACCAAGCTGCCAAGCTCAGCTGGCAGCTGTGCGTGGAGCCTGGCTCTCTTGGAGCACAGCGGTGTGTCAGCATCTGTGTGCTGCTGACCATGGGAAAGCACCCCCTAGATAGTCACCCTAGCGCACAGAAACCTTCAGTGACCTTCTCAGCTTAGTCTCAGCTTTCAGAGAGACCTGCGTTTTCACAAGGAGTCTGTGGTAGGCTAGGCCTTGCCCGCAAAACGCTTTCATTGTCCCGGTGTGGAGCCCAGGTCTCTCTTCATAGCACCGGTATCGGTAGCAGACTCAGCTGTCTCTGAGCTAGGCTCGTCTGTAAGGAGAAACTTGATGATGCTCTTTTTCTGTCTTGTTCAACTCCACTTCTTACCGTCTGTCACTGAAGACCGGATGAGATGAGAGAAGAAATCAGCCCACAGCCTGGGTGCTGTCCGGTCGGCCTTGGCATTCCCTCCACCCCACAGATTAGTCCCTTTCTAACGTACTCACCCTCACTCAAGTGTTCAGGAAACAGGCAGCATGCATGCAGCCAGACTCGTGATGTCCGTCATCAGCACACGAACAGACGCTGGCCCGCACCTGGTCATAGCCCCTGCTTCTCTCTGAGATTCCCTGAGATAATCCTCACGTTTTTGTGAGCACTCCTGTCTTCCCATGTCTAACCAGAATGGCCTGTCGTTAGTCTCTGCTTCCAGCCTTCCAAGGCGTTTCTACCCTAAGCGCCACATTGTTCCGTTAAAACTGTCTCAGAGTCCCGCGAACCGCATGTTCAGGGTTATCACAGCGGTGACACCGCTACCTGCAGCGATGTGTTATTACTCACTTTTCTACTTTCTAGGACAAGGCACCCGACCAGATCAGTTTGAGGAAGGGAGGGGGGGGGCTAATTTTTGCTCCTCCCTGGGTTGAGGTCATAGACCAAACGCAGGGAAAGCTGTGGGATCTGGGGCAGCTGGGTACATTGCATTCACAGTCAGGAAGTGAATGGGTGCTTCCTCCTTTTGATTCAGGTGGGGACCCCAGACTGGAGTGGCGCTTCCCCCACATCCTGTGAACCCAGTCAATCTAGAGAAATGCTTCCGCCTCACACGCATGCGATGATGGTAAAAGCCCATCCCACAGGCGGTCAGGATTGATTATCACAGCACTGTGGACCGTCCTGTCTACCTGTGATTGAGCCAGTGTAGTAGAATACTTGAGCTTGAGCTACTGGAGAGAACAGAAAGGTATTTCTTAAATGTCTGAAGGCTGCAGAGCCACGGTAAAGACACTCGTGTCTCGTGAAGATCTTCATGCTACGTCATCACGTGGCAGAGAACAAGACGGCGGAACACGGGGATGGCAGCTCGGCCTCGAACGTGAGTTTGGGTGGGAACATTGGGCCTCAGCTCTCCTGAGGGACTGAGGAGGCTGGTGAGGCAGACTAAAGCTGTAGGCCTTTAGGACGAAAACCTGCTCATCTGGTAACTCATCGCCCCTGTGTCCAGATCTTTCCTGGGTACCAGCCATGTACAAAAGGAAACACGGAGATATTCTGACCTCATGGCACTATTTTTGATGCAAGCTGAATACTTTTTTTTCTTTTTCCTTTTATTGAGCTGATTTTTCTCACACTGTTATTAATTTGTGGATGTTATTACCAAATTGTGATAGTTACCCAAACACATCTATGAGTGATGTCGTGTCATGTGGGGAGAGCCTCCAATGCTGCCACTGAGGCGGTCGCTTCCGTGTAAACATCAGTCAGGGGTCTCCTACGTGTCCTGTGTGTCTGTCTCCTACGTGCTTGGCTCTTGACTGCCCTCAAGATGCAGCATTTTAAATCACTCCCGGGTACTTACATGATATTCACCATAGAAAACAGTTCTTGTTTTTATGGGGGGGGGGACCAAATCTTTGTTTTCAATAGGATGCCTTAAGTTAGACACATTTTAATCACAGGAATGTTTTTCCCCCAATATGAGAACTCCCCTTATCTTAATATTAAATTTTTCCTTTTATAGCAGGATATAATATTCCTATTATAAATTACTAATTTCTGTTTTTGCATGTTACATGTTAATTTCTAGAAATTGATTTTTTAAAATTATATATACTGGATATACATGTTTTTATACACATGACAAAATTATTACATTTAAACCAGTTAACACATCTACCACCTTCACAGGTAACTTTGTTTGGTACATATGAGTAGATTAGAACCTACACTTAGCAATTTCCCAATGTACATACCACACATCGCCATTAGCCATGTTCCTTCCCTGGTGCACCTGACGGGAAAATTTGTACAGAGATAGATTGAACTTGATTTGAAAAAGGAACTTACTTTTGACATTTAGTAAATAACATAATCCCTTTGTCTTGCTTTCTGCATTTTTAATTAATAATATTCACATCATTTTCCCAGGATGCCGTGGGAATTATAGATAATGTGAATAAAACATCTTCACTAACAAGTAAAGTTTAACAGGTACTCTATAATTGGTAGCTGTTCATGTGTACACATGTGTCCTTTGTAACAATGGCCCTATTTGACTTTCTTCTCTTGTGAAATCCCTGCCCTTAGTCACTGAACAGTACCATGGTTACAAAAGCAGGTCCTCTAAGTAGGATCGGCCTGCGACATTAGCATATGACCTGGGAAGCAATGTGCATCTTCTTCTATGAACGAGTCTCTTGTCAATAACTTTGTGAGATGGTGTTTGCTTTGCTGTTCGCTACATGAAGAAATGACTCTGAGTGGTCTTGTTCGTCCCATTCTGAGACCATTGAATTATCAGACAAGGGCCCAGGAGTAGAAAGAATATAGCTTCCCCAGCTTCCAGCAAGACGTGCCCATGAAAGACTCGTTTTCTTTATTTCCCAGAATAGGCAGTGCATTGCGGTCATCTGGATTCTAAGAATGTGTCTTTATTTAACATAAGCAGAGTTTATAATCTGGGTGCCGTGGAGAAGAATTTAGATATCTCTGTCCCATTACTTTGCTTGTCATTGGAATAGACTGTGAATCCATAATCCACCCCCAACAAATAGTAATTTGTGTGCTGGCCTGCTAATTAGTATGGCTATTTTCTGTTTTGTTGATGAGGCTTAAATAAATGTCAAGGGTGCAGCCATGAAGATCTCCCAATTAGGCTTCACATTTGTAAAACCCAGCCCTTTCCCTTTTGTGTGGCGATGACAGTTCTAACAGCCGCCCTAGCCTAACAGGACTCCAGGGAAAGCATCCTTCTCGGATTTATTGAAAACCGGCCAGTTTGGTCCGGTGAGAATACTGCTACTGGTCACGGTGCACAGCAGCTTTAATCCCACGCACTTACCTTTTATTTATTTATTTATTTAGTCAATTTTATATAAACGGAATCCTGAGGAGTTAGTGAACAATATCAGACCATTAATTCTGACACATGGAATAGTCTGAAGTGTGTTAGAAAAAATTTTTAAGAGTAAGAGAGAAATCCCTTTCAATGATACATTTTAGCCTATAAACCTGAGCTAGGCTCTGCTTTAAACAGTATTAACCTGTCTTTGCTGAGGCGCGCGCGCGCACACACACACACACACACACACACACGGGGCGGGGGGGGGGGGAGAGAGAGAGAGCGCTAACAAGTATTTTAGAGAACGGGCGAGCATAAGAGCGTAGTCACTGTTAACAGATGGATGGCCCTAAGCGAGGCAGGCATTTCACTGAGACAGACCTTGTGGAGGACTGAAGAAGCTTTTTGTTGCTAAGCCTGATTAAAACCTTGGCACACGTATCACTTTTAACTGTTTCATGCCTGGGACAAATGCCAATCCACGAGCGTTTCTCCCTTTCTACCATCTAGGTTGTTTGTATAATCTTTGTGGTGTCACACAGTGTGGGGCCTGTCACAGTGGTGGTGGCCACACAGCGCGCGTACGATAAATACTCCCTAGGAATGGAGTCAGTCACGGCAGTGCTTACACACGGCAGTCACAACGTCTGCCGTCCTGTTACCACCACATACTACGAAACTGGTGGACATGTTTACCTATGCAATGGTAGTTCGAAGCAAGAGCAGTTCTTTCTTAAATAAGGGATAAGGGAATTTTCACTCTAAAATACGATTGGTAA